TTACACTTGGGACTAGGTGCTTGGCTGGGGACCAAGGACAAATGGTGCTGATTTTATAATCTGCTATGTTGGAATAGAATGGGTTGGACATAAGGAATCAAGAACATGGAGTTCATTGGGCCACTATTTTATGCCAGACGAGGAAGCGAGACAGCCTTCACCGTACCAGGAGAAGAGGAAGACTCGCCAGTTACCTTTGCCTACTGTGTCACATAACCCTCTCAAAACCTATGGGAATAGTTAGGAGTATTCTCATTTCTCAGATGAGGAATGAAAATGATATGGAAAATTAGCCTTGATGTGTATGATTCCAACTGTCTAGAAATGAAAGACTTTTACAGATGAATCTTCATAGTCCATTTATTTTAAATATGATTATATTAGAACTTAGGTTTCTTTCGGACTTCCTAGTGTAGAATCTTGTGCAGTTGGCCCCTGGGTATTTTTAATTAAACTTTTGGCATCTCTTCTGGACTTTGGGTGTCTCTAACTGATCACGAACATCACTGTCTGAACCTGAATGAAAGGTACATGACCACGGAGCCAGCTTGGATTAAAACACAAAGTTTGACTCAGCTTTATGGGTTTGAGTAAGTGTCTATTCCCATTGCTTAAATAAAGCTTGTCTTCTTTGGTAGGGGTATATGTATGCTCCAACATGTTTCTGTTATTGCTGCCGAAAAACGAGACTTGAAAAGAAGACTTTGGTGTACCTCTTCAGTGCCCTACACCATGATAACTAAGAGAACTCTGTCACGTGCACAGGGCTTTCCTATTGTGGCATCCATTAGTTCTCATGCACACCTGTGACGGAGAAGATACGTCAAGGAGTGCAGTCATCTCCACAGGCCGCTTCTTGTATAATAAATGCTGTATGTGCCCAGTGAGGTGGGCAGCCTCGCCTGTATTTAACATGAGTAAGCTAATCAAAGCAAAGCATGATGAGCTGGTTGGTCCAAAGCCATGGGCTCAGAAGAGCAAGGCTTTCAGTTCCAGTTACAAGGCAATTGAATGGTAAGGCTTAAAACAGCACCCAAATCTTTTTATCAATAACTTTTCATGCTGGACCGTGTTGTTCATTTTCTCTGTCCCAAGAGGAATGAATCTTTGGTTAAAAGTGTGTCTGAGGGAATTTCAACGTGATCACTAAATACAATGGAAATGTGGAAGGACAATCTATATGACTTGAGAGGTAGGACAGAGGAAAACTAAGGGGCTGAGAGTGGTGAGGGAGAGGGCTCTCTCTCCATCAAGAGCTGGCTTTCTCGTTTGCCTTTTGGGCCAAATGCTGGCTTCAGTTTACTTTAAGCTAGTATTAACTTCTATCAATCAAGCAGTAGAAGTAAGAACTTGAGGGTCCCAGAGAAACTGACCAGAATCTTTGACTCAGAAGTAGAGTTGGAAGAAACACAATTTCCCTCCCATCTTCAGAAAGACGAAACCAACAAAGTGCACAGATTAATCAATCAGTTTGCAAATGGCGTTGTCTGACTGGGCTAGATGTGGCTGTGGCCAATTCTCTGAACTTCTCAGAAGTCCAGTTTCTTTTGTTGAATGGTGACAAAACCACGCAGTACACGAAGATGTTGGACAGGTGATGAAGCATAGACTGACTCAGGGCAAGCATCCAGGAGCGGGAAGCTGGTGGACCACACTGCTTCCAGAGCTGGGATGGAAACCCAGGTTTGTGGCCTTACTTCTACTTTGCCTTAGGCACCCAGTCCAGGGCCAGGATGTGGTTTTACAGGGGCTGAGCTGGGGTTTGAACACAGGCTTTCTCCTCACCCCTGGCGGTTGAGGCCAGTCAAAACAAATGCCCCGGGAAACAGAGAAAAGAAAGGGTTAAGGCTTGAGAAAGCTGGGGAAAACTAGAAAAGCCCGAGTTCATCGCCCCCCTTGCCCCGCCCCCCAAGCCTCGCTAAGCAAGTCCCTCCCCTCCGCTACCGGGGCGGTCGCCTCGCTCTCCCACCCTCCGCCTCTGGCTTACAAGATCTAATGAGCTCCCCCGGGAGGCTGAGCCGGGAGCTCGGGCCGGAGCGAGCAGATAGCGCCGCGCCTGGGTGGGAGCGGCCCGGGAGCAGACGGGCCCCGCTGCGGACAGCTCAGGAGCCGCGGCGATGGCGGTGCAGGCTGCGCTGCTCAGCTCGCACCCCTTCATCCCCTTCGGTTTTGGAGGTTCCGCGGACGGGCTGGTGAGCGCCTTCGGAAGTTTGGACAAGGGCTGCTGTTTCGAGGACGATGAGAGCGGGGCGCCCGCGGGAGCGCTGCTGTCCGGATCAGAGGGCGGGGACGTCCGCGAGGCCACCCGCGACCTGCTCAGCTTCATAGACTCGGCGTCCAGCAACATCAAGCTGGCGCTGGACAAGCCAGGCAAGTCCAAGCGGAAGGTGAACCACCGCAAGTACCTGCAGAAGCAGATCAAGCGCTGCAGCGGCCTCATGGGCACCGCGCCTCCGGGACCGCCATCCCCGAGCGCGGCAGACGCTCCAGCGAAGCGGCCTCCGGGCGCCCCGGGAGCCCCGACCGTCGCGGCTCCGGCGCACTGCAAGGCCACCCCGAGGAGGGAGGCGACGCAGGCTGCGGCTGCCGCCAGCCTGCAGAGCCGGAGCCTGGCTGCTCTTTTCGACTCTCTGCACCACGTCCCCGGGGGCGCAGAGCCCGCAGGCGGTGCGGTGGCCGTGCCTGTCCCGGGCCTCGGAGCAGCAAGCGCTGCGGGCGACGGGGCCGGCACCGTGGGGAACTCAGCGGCCCCTGGGACTAGGAAGGTTCCTCTGCGCGCCCGCAACCTGCCCCCGTCTTTCTTCACTGAGCCGTCCCGAGTGGGTGGCAGCGGCAGCAGTGGCGGCGGCTGCGGCTGCGGCCCCTCGGGCCAGGGCATGAGCCTGGGTGACCTAGAGAAAGGGGCGGAGGCCATGGAGTTCTTCGAGTTGCTGGCGCCGGACTTCGGCGCTGGCACCGACTCGGGCGCCATACTGGCCGCGGAGCCTCTGGACGCGTTCCCCGCGGGAGCCACAGTCCTACGGGGACCCTTGGAGCCGGAGTCTGGCCCCTTTGAGGCCGCCAGCGATGGTGGGGAACCTACTATACCCCGAGCCCTGGAGCGCCCCGAGCTGTCCTCAGACCAAGAAGCCTCCCCTGGCTGGCGTTCGCTGCGGCGTGACCTTGAACGAGCCTGTGCGCTTCCTGTACCCCACTGCCTTGGACTCTCCAGGTGGGGAGGACACACCAGCCTTGACCTCTTTCTTCCCCCTTCTTCCCAGATTGCGCGCTGCCGCCGCCCCATCAGGTGTCCTATGATTACAGCGCCGGCTACAGCCGCGCGGTTTACCCCCAGCCTCTGGAGACCGGACGGGGTGTGGGAAGGGGCGTCTGGGGAAGATGGGGCGCACCCAGACTGACTGCGAGGTACCCTTCGTCTCCTTTATGACTGCTGGGAGCTGCGTGCCACTGTGGGTCTCTCCTGAGTGGAGTGATGTGGAAACGCACGTGAAGACGAAATGGGATTAAAAACAAACAAACAAACCACAATTCATCTAATTAAAAAAAAAAACCTTCAGGAAAAGAGATGAAGAGGAGTTGGGAGTTGATTTAAACAGTCTCAGATTTTCTTTTCTTTCTTTCTAAGTGGCCGTTAGAGTCTTACTTGGACCAGAAGAGCCTCCAAAGCCCGAGACAGGGTTTGGGGAATAATCGGGTGGGATGATGGACGGGTCAAGAACAAGACAGGGCTTTTGTAGCCACCTGCCATCTCAGTTCAGCCAAGGTCAGTGTGTTTAATGTCATTACCCCTTTAAAGCAGTGCCCTGGTGCCCCCCCCACCCAGTACGTTATGAATTAAAGCCTATATTGAAAGAATCGGAACAGAGATATGTGGTCATTGAGTTGAGTGTTTTCTTAGTCTTAGTGTTTTCACAGATCTCTCAGCTTTGCTGTGGACCCTGCAGGTGGGGGTTGGGTGCTGGTAAGACCTTATCCCATTGCTGGCCTCCCTTCCTCCTCCCCCCTTTTTTTGGAGTAGGGTGGTGGGTGGGGGCTGATGGTGCCATTACAACTATTTTTTTCACGGTGCTGGCTATTGAACCAAAGGCTTCCAACACGCTAGGCAAAGTGCTCTACCACTGAGCATTATCCCCAAGCTCTGAGTGTGATTTTATTCTTTCATTCTTGAGAGCCCCCACCTCACCCCCGCTTGCCACACACACTTGCCCCATCTCTTTCTTTCTGCTGTAACCCGTACACGGCTTACCCCTTCTCTCTTGCTCTAGCCGCTCACTGCTCTCTATTTCTGTTTACTACCTTTGGTTGTCCTAAATCTCTGAGTTAGGAGAAAACACCTGGCAAGTCTAGAGACCCATGTCTCTTTCCCCCCTTTCCCTTTACCAACCATTTTGGGTGGGGGGTGGGGTAAGGGAGACAGGTTATAGCCTCTTTGATCCTAAGTTTCCTTATTACAACAGAGAATGACAACCTTTCTCCAGTTCTAACTTGGCTGCTGTTTGGGTGGCTCAAAAGTGAAATACACAAAAATGTCTTGAGCCCGATGCATTGCTGGGCCTGTGGGTATGTGTGTATCTTTATAAGCATGTAAGTGGCTTCTGCACTGGAGACCACTGAACATGTTATTCTCACATTTCATGTTTTGTTTGGGGCTTAAGATAGCTATACAGCTTTACTATCTCTTTTCCAGCCACATCCCTGTGTCCCACATCCCGGTATCTCACATTCTTGCTACTCAGCCCCTACCTACTGGATCTTCCTCAATCCTTGTACCTCACCATGACAGGGAATGGTGGAGGGCACAATGTTTCCAAAGGGGATTTTCCATTCTCTTTATAACCCGTCTGACAATGGAATCTGATGGGGCCTGGATGGAGACTTCAAGTGTGTGTGTGTGTGTGTGTGTGTGTGTGTGTGTGTGTGTGTGTGTGTGTGTGTGTGTGTGTAGGGGGAGTCAGAGAAATAGTTTAACCAGTCATGAATGTGGCTGAGAGGGTTCCCAGCACCATCAGGATGATTGAGGGCCAGAGGAAGAAAGCCCCTGTGGGAAGTGAGCAGTTGGAGGCAAGAGAGGAGGCTGCTGAGTACAGACCCACAGGTAAGAATGCAAGAAGAGATCAACACTCATAAACGGAGTGGAAGATGTCTGCAGACTGAACGCTGCTGCTGCTGCTGCTGCTGCTGCTGCTGCTGCTGCTGCTGCTGCGCAAGGTAGCCGAGACAGATTGTCAGAATAGCTACATGGGAGAAGGAAAAATCAGTGTGACTGCCAGGGATTAAAAAGCCAGGTCCAATGTCTGCAAAAATCAAAAGCACTGGAAAGAAATGGTTAAAAAAAGATGTACGAGGCAATGGTGGGTAGGGCTCCAAATGCTATTATAAAATCACTTTCTTCTGAGCCAAACTTTTTTAAAGAAAACTTTGCAGGAGACAGAGCAGTGACCATGCAAAGAACCTTCCAACTCCAGAAACCTGGCTTCTGAATTCCTTCACAGTGATAAAAGGTGATTAATTTCACTGTGTTAACAGTACATTACTCAACAGCCATGTAACTTCTCTAAGTTGTTTTACAGTGAGAATAACCTAGGGTAGAATTTCACAGTCAGATAGTAACACCGTAGCTGTTCATAAGGTTTGCGGTCACTGTGGTGTTTCTTCATTCTCTTCTTTCTCCTTACCAAGTTTAGTAAGAACAAGCTCTCTTTTGATCAGAACCATGTTTATTATGCCTTCCATTCATGATAATAATACCAACACCACATGTTTCTATGTGCCAGGTGTGGAGCAAAGCATCAGTTTACTGATTTTCTTTCCCAAGGTGGTGGTGGTAGGGGCAGTTACCAGTTGATCCTCTAAAAGCCGAGGCTCATATTGGTAAAACACTAACTCATTGAAAGCAAGTGGTGGTCCAGATCCGTGAGTACCTGGACACCAAGACCTGCCTGCCATTTGTAAAGTTTTGCTATGATTTGTACACATGGGGTTCCCAGCCCTTGCACTAAACCTGTAGCAGAGGTTCCTAATTCTTAGTGCTGTTGAAATTTTGGGTACAATCCTTCACTTTGCTTCCTGGCTTGTGCACGGCCAAATGTTCACTAGCAGCCTGGGCTTGTGTATTAGATGCCAGTGGTACTTTGCTGGTCGTGATAATAAAATCTATCCCCATTGTCACATGTGCCCTCAGGTGCAAAATTACTACTAGTTGAGAATTATTTTGCTAGACAAATATAATCTCAGTGTCTGTGGGGGTGTCTAGCGCTTTCACATGAATCTTATTTATTATCTTATTTATTTTATATATATCTTATTTAATTTTGATAGAGGTCCGAATTTAGGTGTTGTTATTTTCCTTATTATTTTTGGTAAATAACAAAAAGGGCTAAGGGAAGGGTTAAATCAGTTAACTTAGTTACATCTTAGTATTGTTTATTTACCAGCCCTGGTTCATTAACTGTATGGGATTGTGGTTTCCCCATTGACAAACTGGAGATAATCTATCACAGAGGATTGTAATAATCTGTCATAAGGTGTTTATAGAAGCCCACCAAGAGGGAGGGGGACAGTATTTTGATAGCCCAGGCCTGGCATTACGTTAAACTGTCCTTGTTTTCCAGGCTTCTGTGTGTACTGGATCCTGACATAGCATCCCCCCACCCCATTTCCCCACCTGATTCCTCTTGTTTTCATGCTCCCTTCCAATCTGAGTTTATCTGAATCCTCTATGTCATGCACTGCCCGGACAGTAAGTGACACTCATAGTATCCCTGCCAAAGGTGGACATGTGTCCTTTCAGTCATTTTAAAGTCTGTATTTTATCTCTTCTGTAGCCATATAATTATCCATAAGGGAATTATTTTTTAAGTGCAATGAAAGGTATTTCTCAAGGAGTATAATGTACTTGTAATTGTATTACTGGACAAGCTTGGGACCGTATTTAGTTGGTAATGATAATTGTGTATGTAGAACACATATTCTTTTTTTTTTTTTTTTTTTTTTTTTTGGTTTTTCGAGACAGGGTTTCTCTGTGTAGCTTTGCGCCTTTCCTGGAACTCGCTTTGGAGACCAGGCTGGCCTCGAACTCACAGAGATCCGCCTGGCTCTGCCTCCCGAGTGCTGGGATTAAAGGCGTGCCGCAACCACCGCCCCGGCTAGAACACATATTCTTTATTTCCTCTTCAGCTGGTCATTCTTGATTTTCCTGGAATGAGTTTCAAGTGTCATCCTGAAACTTCATAATGTCCCAGCTCTGTCCATCCTCCTTCAGGCTGCCACATAGCCATTATCACAGCACTGGCTCCTGACAGATAGACAGACACCCTTGGGCTTCAGTCTCCCTTTTTCTGTACCCCTTTCAGCTTCTCCCTGCCATTATCAGGACCCTCATCCTACCCTTGTGGCCCGGGGTCCTGCCCGCCCTCACTCAATGAGAAGACATCAGTCCGTTTAGTGTTTGTATTCTGTGGACACCAGCCTTTCTATTTCCTCATTTCCCCCTCACCTTCTGGAAATACATTTTTAGCATAAGTTAAAAAATCACAAGGGGAGAGGAATACTTGAGTGAAAATCTTAACTTTTCCCCTTTAAGTACCAATCTACCATCTTCTCTTAAGAGTCAAGTCTCTTGGGGAAGAGCCCACACCATTTGCCTCTACCTCAGTAGGCTATTTGAATTTTTATTATTTTGAGTCTAGTGTGATCAACATTGATCCCTAGTTTTCCAGGGATTGCCCAGGTTTAAGACTGCAAGTTGCACACACCAAGAAATCCCTAAATCCACATCTATTCTGCCTCTGCTCATCATTTCCCAGGAACTGCTCCCACTAAGGCCCCACCAGAATTCAGTTTTCTTGCTTTCTGTCCTACATATGAATAGAGATGCTCCATTTCCCTAAACATCCACCATATGATTACGGGACCTCATTTTTTCCTTAACCTTGTGCCCTTATCTCCTCTCCTCACTGGAACCCTTGCTCGTTGGTGTTCTTCAGAGTTCTTTTGTCTGCCCTTTATTCTTTCCACTCCTTGCATTCTTCCTGGGAGATGGTAGCTTTTCGCCACACCTTCCTCTGTTCTGTGTGTTCTGACGAACACCACCCTGACCCAGTCTTGTACTTACAGCTTCTTTCCCTCCACATTAGACAGTTACTTACATACTCTCTATACAGTATGTTCTGGGGACTCCTTAACTCCCCAAACTCTATGTTTGAAATTGACCATTTACTCAAACTGACTAGTCATAGTCAACTATAACCCACACTATTTCTTTGTAGCCTTTTCCCCATCCATCCAAATGGCTACTGAGGCCAGCTAAGTTAGTATAAATATTTTGTTTCATGATTTGACATCGTGCTCAATATACACATATCCACATTTATATGAATTCATGTTTGTATGTTCTTGTACTTAAGAATTGAAGTGTTACTAGGTCATTATCTATATTAAGATGTATTTCTGTATTTTAATAATGATTTTAAAACAAAACAAACAAACAAAAAAACCCAAAAAAACAAAGCTTAGGCTCTTGCCAAGGAGTTATAGGACTCAGATATTTTCTTTTCATTTTATTCCTAAACGTGGTTAGTGTTCCTTAGAATGAAGTCCACTGCCTCCTTGGTGGTCTAGGTGCCAGGGTTATTGCACAGTAATTAATGGGTTGGATTTTCAGTTTGAAAGGTACTGACTTAAATTCTAGCCTGTCCTGTCTCCTCCACTCTGCTAGTGACACTTCCTTAGTTTGAACCCTCAGTACTTGTCACATGACCTACTCCATTGATCTCTTAATGACTTTCTTGCTCTCTGGGATGGCAATCCTCCTGTCCATCTTCTCCATTCCCTGCTAAGGAGATTTCAAGCAAAGCATCCCAGCTGTAACTATTTTTCCTTCAAATTCTTGAATGGCTGGCTTCCTGTTGCTTCCTTTGTCAACTTCAAAGTCTTTGCTTATAGGTGTAGCTTCTGCCATCACCTTTAGCCTCATCCATGACTCCCCTAAAGAGACCTTACGTTTAAGAAAATTTATTAGTATTCAGAGTTGCTTGACTGCTCCAGATCCATGAATTTACTGAACTCTGTGAGTTTACTTCCGCCACCACTTAACCCCCGAATACACTCTCCTGATTTCTCTGCTTTCTTCTTAACATCGATGTCCCCTCTCCTAAAAATTTTTGCTGGATCTACTAAGCACTTGCTCTCTAATCTTTTATCCAATGCCAAGATTATTTTGTAGCAATTGATTAGACTTTTTAAAGTAGTTGTCAGCCCTCTGCCTTCTTTACTGGGGGCCTCTGCAGTTCTTATTGCTTTTGGAATTGGACAGCAACAATGCATGATCGATGATTCCTGGATGAATTTTATAATTGTAAGAGACTTCCCATTCATTCTCCTCATTTGAGCCTGACCTAAGTCTTGTAAAAACGGCATTTGTTGAGGACATATTGTGGAAGAGAAGCCCCCTTCTGTAGGAAGGAATTAACTTGTGGAAGGAGTTATCTATGGATGTAACAACCATATGAATAATTGTAGAGAACCCAAAGGCACAGTACATTTGTGGCAGGCAGAGAAGATATTGGTGATATGTTTTTAATTATTTACCCTGTCTGTTTGGTGTGGCCACAACTTTCCTCTGTGAATCCACCAGACTCTCTTCCTACAGTGAATTTAAAGTTGAGATGTGTACCTCAGACGACAAGTACATGGAATAATTTATTCCATGTCAATGTGTGAATGAAGAATATATTAAAAAAATCAAAGAGGTGTCACAAAGAAAGTTTAACTAATAAGTAAATGATACAAATAATTTTAAAAGATACTGTTTCTAGAAATGCATTTCAAATTAAATATAATATTCATTTTCCCATAGACTTTGGTGCTAGTGGAGAAATTGGGAAAGAAAGACAAGGATGAAAAGCAAACAAATTGTCTATATGCCTACTAAAGGAAATCTATCCCCACCCACTTACCAGTAATGAAAATTTTATGGATATAATTATATCCCCTAAAAGATATGCTGAAAAAATAACTCCTCAGGATGTGCCACTATTTGGATGTAGGGTATTTACATAGATAATAAAGGTAAAATGAAGTCCATTAGGGTAGAAG